CAAGAGCTCGTTCAAATACTGAGGTGCTAAACCATTCAGGGCTTTATAAGTAATAAGCAAGATTTTAAAATCTATACGATGTTTAATAGGTAGCCAGTGCAGTGTTGACAGAACCGGGCTAATATGGTCATACTTCCTGGTTCTAGTAAGAACTCTAGCTGCTGCATTTTGGACCAGCTGGAGTTTGTTTATTAAGCATGCAGAACAACCACCCAATAGAGCATTACAATAATCTAACCTTGAGGTCATAAACGCATGGATTAACATTTCTGCATTTGATATTGAGAGCATGGGTCATAATTTAGATATATTTTTGAGATGGAAAAATGCAGTTTTACAATTGCTAGAAACGTGGCTTTCTAAGGAAAGATTGCTATCAAATAGCACACCTAGGTTCCTAACTGATGTCGAAGAAGTGACAGAGCAGCCATCAAGTGTTAGACAGTGTTCTAGGTTATTACATGCAGAGATTTTAGGTCCTATAATTAACACCTCTGTTTTTTCAGAATTTAGCAGTAAGAAATTACTCATCATCCAGTTTTTTATATCGACTACAGCAAAGACAAGATGTGGTACTTGGCTAAACTGGTAAGTAATACATGTGTAATGACTTTTTTGGTATACATGTTATTCATGTGTATTGATGTTTGCACTTTAGTAGGTCATATGGTATATGCATATTGTACAGAATTATGATATATAGTTATATATATATATATATATATATATATATATATTGACCAGGCACTCACTCAGCTCGAGTTCAAGAAGGGAGCTAAAATAATCACAGGGGTAAAAATACAAACAGTGATATAACAGGAAAATCTGTTGAACTGCTCAAATAGTATCGATTAAAGTATGTATTTGCCATAGACGCAAACTCCTCACCTTTCGGTGAAAATTCACCTTTTTGAAATCAAAATAGGTCACCTACGAGGTGGTTTTGTTTAAGACACAAAATAAATGTATATTTATTGCATGAAAAGGCTGTATTTTATGTGTTATATGTTATGGATGCTTCTTTTGTATTTCATTTTGGCTAATGTATTTATTTTCTTTATTGAATGTCATTTAATAAACATGGCTCTTGGACTTCAATATAGACCATTAATTGTAACATTTGAATTATATTTTCTTTGGTCTGACTTCAACAGCTGAATCATTCTCTGCCAAGGGAAAATATCTAAAGCGTATTCGTTATCATGGATGTGGCATGTTTGGCATCATGGACAAAGTGCACTGCCACTACTTTGTAAAGCTCGTTGAAGGGGTCCCGCCGAAAGTCGAGCAGAAGACAGTATTCGACCAGGCCAAGGAGTATGTGGAGCAACTAAGGAACCGAACAATTATTAATTCGCTATAGTTTAAAAAGACTCTTGATGTTTTGTTAATGTGCTCATGTAAATAATAACTGAAGAATAAAGAAATCACACCAAGCACAGCTCTTGTTTTATCTTGTGGTTCACCGTGTGTATATGGGGTGGAGTGGGGTATGAGTGGTTATGAACGAATGAATGCGTTAATGTCCGTGTTTCACTCCGTCTCGAATTGCGCTCACGGAAAGCGCTTGAGAAATGGTGTCTCTTCCGCGGCTCGGTATGCTTTCAACTCGTTTTTTTAGTCTCGAGCAAGACTGTACAACATTCACATTACACGATTTGACTGCTTTTTACGTAGAAAGGGCGACAGCACACCGCATTAAAAGAAATGATCATTCATGTTTTCATAACCGCTGACCAAATTCAAAAACAAAACTTAAAATTAAATCATCTTTGAGAGCAAGGGGGCCCCCCGTTTTGAGGGCACTACGCAGCTTGCGTATTTTTCTTATACACTCTCAGAAATAAAGGTACAAAAGCTGTCACTGGGGCGGTACCTTTTCAAAAGGTACATGTTTGTACCTAAAGGGTCCATTTTGGTACCTTAAAGGTACATATTAGTTCTTAAAGTGTGCATATTAGAACCTAATAGGAACAAAAGTGTACCACACCAGTGACAGCTTTTGTACCGTTATTTCTGAGAGTGTAGGGAGGATCGGCTCTGATTAGAGCATCTCCAAAATGGCAAGTCTTATGGGGCATTCCTGGTATACAGTGTATCTGACAGAAGTGGTGAGGAGTGAAAGGTAGCCCATCTTGTCACACAGAAGAGCTAGAGTAGCTCAGTTTGCTAAAAAATGCTGGCCGTGATAAAAAGGTGTCACAGTGCATTGCAGTTTGCTGCGTATATGGGGCTGCTTTAAAGTAATCGTCTTGGATATACTGGTGCAAAATACGAATCACCTTGGTGGATGTTAATTGGTATTTTAGATAATGACTTTGACTTTACATGACTACACATTATTACTAAATCATAGACTAACATGAATTCATGACTTGTTAATGTATCATTATGTCATGACTACTTGGGGGGCGTGTATCATTATTACTAACTCATCATTCATTATTTATAAAGTAACATTAATTCTAGGGGTGTAAGAAAATATTGATACACGTGAGTATCGCGATATTTTGTTTGGGGATACTGTATCGTTTCTCAAAAACGGAATTTCTATTAACCCCCCCCCCCAGGTGGAAAAGTTCTGAGAATGTTTAACATATGTATTTATTTTATTGTTTTAAAATAGGTTTCTTCGTTTCTTAATTGTAAACTTAAAATGTGAACCTTTAAAGCAGGGTCTAAAAATATATATGGTATTTTTATAAAATACATATTATACATTTAACTAAAGGATCCTGCTAGCACTTTAATTTCCCCCCTTGACTCGTACTGCACAAAAAGTGGTTTAATAACGTTGAATGTTACAGGGACTGATTATTGCAAATGCAGATCCCACTCTGTTCTGGTTAAATAATTTGTATTTATTTGATTTATTTATTGCTAAGGTTTGCATATGGTGGTGTGTTCTTTATGACAGCTTTCCTAAAAATATATCCTATTCCTAAAATAAGAAGTATCCCAATATATCGCCTTGCTTACAGTATCGCAATGTATCACAACCCCTTTATCGTGATACGTATTACTACGTACTAGACATTATTACTAACCCATCATTAATTACGTATTAAGTAACATTAATTCATGACTTGTTAATGTATCATTATGTCATGACTTTACTTGGGGCACATTATTACTAACTCATCATTAATTACGTATTAAGTAACATGAATTCATGACTCTCCTGTGGCTGCCTTTGGATGGAGAAGGAACTGAACAGTAGGAGGAAAGCTGACATTTTGAAGGGGCAATAGTGACCCAAAAGAAGAGCAAGAACACAAGACAAACGTCTGACTGCAGTGCATTATTATTATATAAATATAGTAAACCAACCCATAACATAACCAAAGCGATAACCATCATCTCTGCTAACACTGATTTTAATTTGGAAAATCGCACCTGCTTAATGAATACGTTATTGTAGGACGGCAGCAGTGGAATCACTCAAAACAGAATGAAATTGTTTTTAATTATGAATGCATCATTGTTGGATGAGTTAGGTTAAACGTAAATATTGCAAGAAATCCACTGTCGTTCACTGATGTTTGTGACAACTGCAGGTGGCAAATTTATAAACAATTTTACATTGTGCCATTTTCATACATCTTGCTTCTAGAGCATGTTTGATTTAGTTTACCCCAAAGTGTTAATTAATACATTAACTAACATGCAGGAAATTACATGTAATTAAGGTAGTGTTATTCATGCAGTAGTTCATGACTCATGTCGTAGTTAAATTAGTTCTTCATTAGTTCTTGATTAATGCATATCTTAACTCATCATTAGTTCATAGTCAAGTAATTATTAATTCAGGTATTAGTACATGATAATTCATGTACTGTTATTGTAAAGTGTTACCGTATTTCTTTACACTGTTTTGCTGGTGCTTGAACACACTTTCCTGTTTATCACAACAAATGGCCAAGCAAAGCGCACGACACTTTCAATATTTTATATATTATAAAATTTCTGTCCCCCTCACTTCTAAAATGATGGCTACGTCCCTGGTAATCAGTATTCAATTCACTTATAGGCCTATGTATGGTACACTGTTTACTATGTCATGAAACTTTCATAGTTAATGAAGCCCAAGTGCCACCTACAGGCCTATTATGTGAAGTGTAGGTTGGTGAAATGGTGACGTGAAAAGACTTTATTATATTACCATATTTTGATAATTATGCAGCATTATGAAAGTGTCTTATGCTCATCAAGCCTGCATTTATTTGATCAAAAATACAGAAAAAACTGTAATATTGTGAAATATTATTACAATTTAAAACAATGTTTTTCTGTTTTAATATACTTTAAAATATAATTTATTTCTGTGATGCAAAGCTGAATTTTCAGCATCATTACTCAAGTCTTCAGTGTCACATGATCCTTAAGAAATCATTCTAATACACTGATTTATTATCAATGTTGGAAACAGTTGTGCTGCTTAATTTTTTTTATTTTATTTATTTATTTATTTTTTTGGTAACCTGTGATACTTTTTTGGGGTTCATTGATTAATTAAAAGTTCAAAAGAACAGCATTTATTTAAAATAGAGATGTTTTCTAACAATATCAATCTTTACTATCACTGTTTCTATCAATTTAACAAATCCTTGGTGAATAAAAACTACTTTCTTTCAAAAAAAATTAAAAATACTGACCTCAAGCTTTTGAACGGTAGTTTGTTACAAAAGTTATATTTTAAATAAATGCTGTTGTTTTAAAAAAAATTTATTCATAAAAGAATCCTGAAAAAGTATCACAGGTTTCCAACATTGATAATAAATCAATTGACATAAAATGTATTTTAAAGTACAGGTGCATCTCAATAAATTAGAATGTCGTGGAAAAGTTCATTTATTTCAGTAATTCAACTCAAATTGTGAAACTCGTGTATTAAATAAATTCAATGCACACAGACTGAAGTAGTTTAAGTCTTTGGTTCTTTTAATTGTGATGATTTTGGCTCACATTTAACAAAAGCCCACCAATTCACTATCTCAACAAATTAGAATATGGTGACATGCCAATCAGCTAATCAACTCAAAACACCTGCAAAGGTTTCCTGAGCCTTCAAAATGGTCTCTCAGTTTGGTTCACTAGGCTACACAATCATGGGGAAGACTGCTGATCTGACAGTTGTTCAGAAGACAATCATTGACACCCTTCACAAGGAAGGTAAGCCACAAACATTCATTGCCAAAGAAGCTGGCTGTTCACAGAGTGCGTCTTATGAAGTATTCTAATTTGTTGAGATAGTGAATTGGTGGGTTTTTGTTAAATGTGAGCCAAAATCATCACAATTAAAAGAACCAAAGACTTAAACTACTTCAGTCTGTGTGCACTGAATTTATTTAATACACGAGTTTCACAATTTGAGTTGAATTACTGAAATTAACTTTTACACGACATTCTAATTTATTGAGATGCACCTGTATATTAACATTTTGATCAAATAAATGCAGGCTTGATGACCATAAGTGACTTCTTGCAAAAATATAAAATAGAAATGTATCCAAACTTTTGACCTATAATTAATTTTTTTTACATTGTCCCTATTTTACATTTGAGCACCTGCCCCTGAGGAACTCTCTGCACGTCCCTGCAAAGCCATACATGTTTGAGCCTCCAGAGCCAGAATCCAATTCAGAGGACCGGCTATCCGAGAATCAACCTCGTCCCTCTCGGTCTGCAACAGAATGGTTAAGGACACCGAGCTGTTCCATTATGGCAAGCCGTTTTAGCATTTAAAAGTTTGTTTTGACTATCCATAAATATAATTTAAGATAGGAACAATTGTATTTTGACAAGTCATAATTATAACTCGACTAGTCACAATGACAATTAGAGATATGTGCAATTGTAATTGCAGTAGTAAGAAATCGGATTAGAGATATCTTTAAATATGATTTGACTAGTCAAAACTCCATTTAAGATATCTGTAATTATGTCACAGATATCTTCAATAGACGCGTCACACATACACAAATGTAATTAGAGATATCTCTAATTCAATTTCGACTAGTCACAATTATATTTTAAGATATCTGAATTGTACATGCTCCTGCTGTTGTGTGACGTGAGAATAAATTTACTCAGCTCCTCTCCCCACACCAGAGCTTTCGTCGACATACAATTTAATGAATTCACACTTTCTTATAATTAATAAAGTTTATGCGTATTTGGCATGCCAGGAACACCGGGGAGGCAGGAAAATGCTGTCTGGCAGACCCACCTTTTCCTCCTCCCTGGCCCAGATATTGAGGTTTTACCCTCTACAACAGAGCTTGAACGGTTTGCAAACTTGGGTTTAGGTAAATGTATAGTTGATACATAAGGATGTCAAAGATAAAACAGGGTTTTTCCTGGGCTAAAAAGAGCAACTGGGCTAGCAATTCCAAAATATAAGGAAAGAAACCATTTGTAATAATAATTTATTCTGTATATTCATGAAATAAAAAATAATCACTGTTGGGACAGTGGCATTATAATCACAAAAGGTGTTTATTACTTAAATTCAGCGTGAGGTACACAAAGGCATTGTGTTCATGCACTCAACAGATATGTCCGTGAATGTCTACAAATCTTAATGCGGCATTTGAAACCAGTCAGCTATTAAAACGGACAATGATTAATATTGATAAATATTTTGAATGCAGGAAAAACTCTGTAGCAGCAAATGTTTTTATTGTTGATAGTGATCTGCATTTTACATAACCTCAGGTATTGCATACAGTGTATGATCAATTGATGAGCTCTGTTTTTTTGTTTTATGTTGTTAATATGTACATTCAATTTTGTAGGTAGACCAGTGCAGGAAACATCTGGGACAGGAACCCAAAGATAAAAAATTCCACTAAATTGGACTCTGTCTGAATTAAATAACTTTGTCTGCCAGTGCTACCCAAATGTGAGTTTGAACTTGATAGGTTTCCATTTGGCAAGAGCAGGCAAAGGACACAAGATCCAAAAAGTTCATGTAAATTCTATGAGGGATTTAAAAAAAGCAATTGGCAAAAGCAGAATCTATATTGTCCCACGAGCTGAAGTTTTGCAGGTATGACTTTGCAAAACAAAGGCACAATATTCAAATGAAAGAGCCATTTCTTTATGATATGACAAGTAGAATCGGCTTTTAATTTAACCTTAATGTAAATTTAAAAGGTTAAATTTGAGTTCACATTCTTTGCTTTCAGTTAAATCTTACTGTGATGTTTCTGCACAGCGCACGTTTATGTTAGGTGACAGTACAAATAAATTTACAGTGCAGTGAGCCAATGTATTCTTTGTTATTGTTACACACTGAGTTTGAGAGTTTTTGTCTACTCCCAGGTAATGACACCATCCCCTGCCATGTACCAGAACTCATACCAACTATCCTACTCTGCTGCAGCACTGGATGAAACCTCATTGGATGCAGAGACTGCAGAATCTGTAAATTTGGATGTGAGTGAAGTTAGTTTAGATGTTGTGGAGAAGTATTTAAGTTGTGTCAGTTGTAACCAGTAATGATTTGTGACTTGTGGTTTTACTTTATTCCCTTTAGGAATGGCGAGCAGTACGTTCCCAGCAAGACAAAGAATATAATGCTTCCTTGTTGGCAGACCAAGAAAAGGTCATTTAAAAAAATCCTTCTATGCTTGCCAAGTTTAATTTGAGGAAAAACAAAAGTGAGTCTTAAAAATATTTTGGTATTTACAGGACAGGAGGAGGCACTGCTATGAGGGTTGAAGAAAGGCGGACAAAGGTTGGTGCTGCCACTACATTTTTTTTTAATTTAAAGTTTTTCTAGTGTGAAAGTTTTTTTTAGGCCATTGAGGAAAGACTTCAGCGAATGGCTACCCATGTGGAACCCCTAGATGGAGAGGTTTTGAAATTAAAATATCTAAATGGATATGTAAACAAGAGGAAATTCATCATGTCTGAGCCAATTCAGGTAAGAAGTTCTGTGTGAAGGAGAACCAAGGGTTTTGTCATTGGTTTATTTAGTCTGTGTTCCTTATTTTCCTTGTTTTAATTGACAGTTGCCATCTTGGGTCTTGTATTTTCAGGTCCTGTTTGATTTTATTGGACAAGATGAAATGGCCAGTGAAGTTTTTAAGGTCAGGGAAGCTGCATCTTCAAAAGATGTTGAGAGCACTTCTGCTGGGTCAATTGCAGATCATGGCATAAAACCATCCTCTACTTTGTACGTCCTTTGGATGTCAGCTTTGGATAATCTGGTAAGTTAACATAGCAGTTTTACTTGAACAAGAGGTCTTTTTCATCATGATTTTCATTTGACCATATGCAGTGTTTGAGTTTTTGCCCTGACAGCATCATTTACTGGTTAAAAATTGTAAGGATTGATTAAATGTTATTATTAAAAGGTTTGGGTATAGGGTTATTTCTGCCCTGTAATGGCACCAATGAGCACAGGTCAGGGAGAACTTGATACTGCTCCGTTGGGCGCTTGAAGAATTAGAACTTAAACACACATGTCAGACACATGCTTAATTGAGAACTGATAACATGGGCCATATTGAAATAATAACAAAAAATATATAAATTGTTGTGCTAAAACACCTTGTCACCTATGAAGTCAGAGGCCACACTGACAGGTGGTTGAGCATTATTAGGGTTTGTTTATACATGTTATTGCCTGCCTGTTTTTTGTCAACAGCTGGACAGTTTTTCAAAATGAGAATCATTTGAAATTGAGAAATGTATATTTGTAACCTAGCCTTAGTGATTAAATCATGATTTTTTATCATCGTTGTATTTTTGTCCTTTTCATTTCAGGAAATACATTGTGACCCGGTAAACTTTACCCAGCCTTCAGAAGCTCTTCCCTTTGCTCAGTCTTCAATGGCTCTGTCCTCAGTCCAGGCTCCAGTTGCTCCACCCTCTGCCCAGCCTCTAGTGGCTCCGCCCTCTGTCCAACCTCTAATGGCTCCACCCTCTGCCCAGCCTCTAGTGGCTCCACCCTCTTTCCACCCTCTAGTGGCTCCGCCCTCTGTCCACCCTCTAATGGCTCCGCTCTCTGTCCACCCTCTAATGGCTCCGCCCTCTGCCCAGCCTGTAGTGGCTCCGCCCTCTGCCCAGCCTCCTGTTGTTGCTCCCTTAGCCTAGACTCTAGTTGCTCTAGCCTCTGACCAGGAATCAGACATTTTCCTTGAAGACCAGTCACCACTTAGTCCTCTATCTCCCCAATCATCAGTCATTGATCTTATAGATCAAGAGAGGTCCGTTTCCCCTACTCTTTCCCACCAGGATTCCTCTCTTCACTATGTGGCACCTATAGATGAGTATGTTCCTATAAGTCACTAGTAATTCTTAAAAAATATTTTTATGCATTCTTTTTATGCAAAGGACTTCAGTTGCGTCCCATACAGCAACTTTGTCGCTAGTCTCTTAATCATTTTAATGTGTTAACATTAACTACAGCAGTGCTATACTGCTCTTTGCATCATATATTTAGCAAGAACTATTAATGTTTGAATCGAACTCACAGAGGCCATTCACACAAAATGCATAAAAAACAAGTCTTAGGCAATGGAATCAACACTTTAAAAATTTCAATAAAAGTTTTTAAAATGTAAAAAGACGTAAGAGATGAGCACACCATTTAAAGATGCCTGTCTAGTGTTTGTTTGTAGATATAGTTTTTGTTGATGCTGAGCAGAAAGGTGAAGGGGCAGTGGATGAAGGTGGCGCGTCAAGAGAATACATGCGGCTGTTGATGCGAGCCATCCATCAGTCAAAGATTTTCCAGGGCCATGAGAAAGATCGGAGTTTGGCTCTTGACACTCAAGGTCAGTACAAAACACTTTTGTGTCAAGTTATGTTGTAATGCTAAATATAATGGTAGAATTGTGTGTGTTATGACTGGCTGTGAGATGCTTGATGTGAGATCCACGAATCAGAGAGGTTACTAATTTTGCATCATGAAAGCACTGCAAGTAAGAGTTTGCAAGTGCACTTTAAAGGATAGTTCTCTTTAAAAAAAATTTATTTACTCACCATTTACTCATTCATTTAGCAGATGCTAGAACACCCTCAGGTTGTTCAAATCTTGTTTTTCTATGGAGTTTCTACTGTTGAACACAAAAGATATTTTGAAAAATATGGGTAACCGTTACCCATTTCATTTACTGCCATAGTAGGAAAAAAACCTACCCACATAATCACATTAATGAGGGCTCTACAGTGTGACAATTTCTGAAAACTACTGCGTGCGACTATGAAAAAAATATTTAGGAGTACCAGTGCGCCTGACCCAATCAGCATATTTGCTCGGTGAGCTTCAATGATTTCTACTTACAATGTGTTTTTGCAGCGTTGAGTAATGTGCTGAGTTATGCAAGCTCACGAATCTTCTCATTATAACAAGCAAAGTGTAGACACAATGTAAATAAGAGATTCACTGATTATAATGGAACTTTGTGAAATTGTGATGATGAGTGAAATCTATTAATTTTTCATAAAGACAGTGTTTTATATTTAAAAAAATTCTAAACATGAATTTATGAATTTAATTGCACTCATGCCACCTCTGAGCCTCATTAAATGTCTGTAAATATACCTACATGCCACCTCTGTAGTGCAAATAATTTTTGTTAATACTTTTTTTATTTTTTATTATACATTTTGAAAAAAGCTTAGAAATATACACTTTTGAATTTGACATAAGATGACATACTTTCAATAAAGTTACATTAAATAGTTACAAAAATGCCCCTTGTAAATCACTTTAGGGAGTCAAATATTACCTCTTAAATGATTAATTGATTATGGATCAGAAAGTGCTCCTGAATTTTTTTTTTCTGTGCTCCACAAGTGCTCCTAAAAATAAACATAAGTGTAGAGCCCTGCATACATTTCTCTCTCTTAATCACTTGTTTGGATTGGTAAAGGTATATGATTTCAGGACTGTGTGCCATCACTGTGTTACATTAGTAAAAAAAGGATGACAGTTTTTTTTTTACCTGTCCGCTTATGATCAGATCACTTGAATCCAAATACTAAACATTAAGCCTGTGATGATTGGGGGAATTTTTTTAACTTTTAAAAAGCCATACTAATAGGCAAAAATTACTTTAGATAAACTAACAATTGTGCTTGGGTTTCTTCTCCTGCGTTCTACTGTACAGACGTGAATTTACTTTTGCTTCAGGTTTATTCATTACACTTTTTGGTGTGAAAGGGCTTTATTTATTTATTTATTTGCTATAAATAGAACTTCTTATATTAAAAACAATCAAGCCCTGCTTATATTTAAAAAGTAACGCGAAAGTAACGCAAAAGTAATATAACGCATTACTTTCCATAAAAAGTAACTAAGTAACGTAATGTTCCTTTTTTTAGGGAGTAACGCAATATTGTAATGCATTACTTTTAAAAGTAATTTTCCCCAACACTGGTTTTTGGTAGCTTTAGGTAACTTTTTTTTTTTTTTTGTTCAAATTGATATAATGAGCAAGTACATCATGAATCCATCTTCAAAACTGCATGTCTTATCCTGAATCACTATGACTATATAGTTAGTGTTTATATTCAGACTGTTTTGATCCAAATGGGACGCCAACCTCCCAGTATCTGCATGACTTTTATACATAAACAGAGAGAAATAACTCTCGCTACAGTGTTATTGCACAAGACACATGCAGTTTAATTAATCGCTAGCGTGCCAAAGTTATATAGTGGACCTTTTAAGCCTCTGATAATGATAGTCCTCTGAAAAGGGAAGATTGAAAAAATCTAAAATCTTAAAAATCAATGACAGATTTAGAGAAAACAAATGTACATTTTGAAAAAAATATCTTATTTGTGATGATTCTAACCATTGTGCAGAACAAACACCCTAGAAAGCTTGCCATTAGATGTTATCATAACTAGAGACAGGCTAGCTAGCTCTATTTACATTACAAATGTGAAATAATTGCACTTACCACACATTCTTTATGAAGTTAGAGTATTTCCCCTACTTATGTTTTGCAGAAGGGGATTTTAATGCAGTCACTCTGGAGATGATCATTGAGTTTGCCACTGGAGCCTACACAGTGCCACCGCTGGGTTTCCCCCACCACCCACAAATAGAGTTCCTCCATCAAGATGGAAAATTTTTTCCAGAGGCCAATACTTGCCTCATTGTACTTCGCCTGCCAATACACACGGAGTATGAAATGTTCAAGAAACACATGACGGAAGGAATTGTGCAGAGCCCAAGTTTTGGTGTTGCCTGAACTAGTTTTAATCTAGACTAGAACAGTTAAGAAAAAAAAAGATAAATAGGTCATGATCTACACAGACATAATGGATATCTCATGTTTCTTAAAACTGTTTTAATGTTAGCTTTTCATATAAAGTACATAAAATAACTCTAGGTGCAGTTACAGCAGAGTAGACCTTATTGTTCCCTTTAAGAAGCACTGTTACGTCAAATACATGTTTGAGATGTGCATTTGTTCCAAAAGAAAACTCATTGTTTTTCATTATGCATATGCGTTTACTGTTACATGACTCACATTTTTACAGTTCAAGTCTTGTTTCATTTTTGTCCACTTGTTTTTCATTTAAACTTTGTTCAATGTCGTTACATACTACTGAAAGTATGAAATGTCAAGAAACACATGACAGAAGGAACTGTGCAGAGCCCAGGTTTTGGTGTTGCCTGAACTAGTTTAAATCTAGACTAGAACAGTTGAGACAAAAAAAGAGCAATTAGTCATGGTTTACACAGACATAATGGATTAATATTTTAGTTTGTTCAGGTCTTAATTTTTGTCCACTTGTTTTTCATTTGAACTTTGTTCAATGTATGTGACTACTGAAAGCATCAACTTAATGTTCAACAGACTGTTGCCATGTTACAGTTAAAAATCACATTAAAATGAAAAAAAAAGAAAGAGTCTGTAACACTAATTTGCCAAAACATTAGCAATTTCTGCACAACGCACCTGAAACTTCATCTTCAAATCTGTAATATGGTTAAGAGCATGGGAAACAGTTTCCATTTGCTGCTTAGTAAGGCTTATTTGAGGCTGCACTACAGTTACAGCTGGGATCTCTTCATTTTCAGCTGTGGGCAAAGACTCGATGCCATGTTGAGCCAGGAGTTCATGTAAATTTTCAGGCCTATAGGGATTGTCTCCAAACACATGGTTGATGGCTGTGCTGTCAGTTTCCATCCTTGAAAGCATTCCCTCTGTCCATATTTGTGTTGGTGTTTTATTATTTTCTGTGCGCAAAGCATGGTGATTCCGTGCCTCTTTGAAGTGCTGAAGTCTACTTTGTATATGTGGAAGAAAAACTATGTGGAGTGAAAGTTTGTGAATGTCATTGCTGGGATCCAAAAGTTCAGAATTCTCAAGACTGTACAACATGCTATAGATTGGTTGCAATACATGTAAAAATACGTCCCTCCACAAACGCTCAATTCTTTGGTTGTGGACTGATTCACCGGTGATGTGACTCCGGTGCTGAAGTCCTAGTATAAGGTTCATGAAGAAGGCCACTTGTAAGTTTTCACCTCCATGATTCTGACCTTACCCTAGAGGGTAGGCCATAAAGGGATGTTGCCTGTATAAACTGAGAAAGTACGGTGCTGGCACAGTTGTTGGTGTTGCAATTTAGGTACGTGATAAGTCGTGAATATCCATCAATGGCACCGTGAATCACAAAGCCCCATCTAAAAGGGAATAAAAAGACAATGCAAATATAAGTAAATTGTTATAATAAGTATTTACCTTGTGAAGAAACTAACAAAACCAACAAGTTCAACTTTTTTCAGGTTTGCTGTTATGCTAGATGTCCCAAAAGACACTAAATATTTGATTGGAAACAGGTTAACTTTTACAACTGGGCTTTCAAATAATAAAGTACAGCTTGTCCAATTTATAATAGACCATGAAATAAATGGTGGATATAAATAAATAACTGGAGTCATAAGTACTATAGGAGTAATACATATAATACAGACAACCTATAATAATTTTACTTATTACAATTTGTAATGTATTTATAATTAATATTGTCAATTGTATTAGTACAGTAGAGTTATCACAGTACACACTATTTTGAAGCAGCTTTACAAAAAGTCTTACTCTTAAATCTAAAATGCCTTAATGCTTTAACTTTAAACGGTTTCAAACAGGACCATATGGTGATTTAAATACTGTAGTATCATGCAATACAAAATACACAATGTCAGCTTTGGAACCCACTTCTTAATTCATGACTACACCATTAATTTATCATTTTTTATCCATTACTTTAGATTGTAGTACATTATTATTTGTAAACTTAGAATAAAGGTTTAGCTGTAAACTAAACCTGATCAAACTAAATCAAACCTACATATTTATAAATGAACATTTACCACAACACTGAATAATGTAAGTAGTCAATTTTGTTGTGCTGAGTGACAATATGGCCAACAATTACTGCCTTCACCTACTCTTGTAATTTCAGACAGGCCAAATCTTACTACATACATTGATATTCAGTTACAAAAGCTTTGGAATGGCCAAAACAACAGTGAAAGGAGAACCAACTTTTAACTGAAATTAAACATTCAATCCGCATATATGGTTGGGGTATTCAGGTGTGCATTTACATTTGGCTGTAGTTTCTATTAACCTGCAAGAATTGGCTAATGCAGGTCTGCACTGTCACGCTATTTTTATGCTGCATTGACAGAATCTCAACTACCTGTAATTTAACTAACCTTATGAGGCGCATGTTGCCATCAATGTGCCACAGACTGTTGGGAAAGGGTACGTGATACACTCTTCGAGCCACTGTGCTACTCCATCTCCTTGCAGCAGCTGCTGGGTTGACACAAACCAACATCTCACACACCCTATGCCGTGAAACCCTCAATCCTTCTGCTATCAGCAAGGCTCGCATCATCTAAAATGGGTGTATTGAATATTTAAAAAAAAGTTATATTAATTACTTTATGAACTTTGAGAACAGATGTTAAAGTGAGACCAACAAGGCTTACCTCATTCCCAGAATTTGGATACTGGCACTGAAGTCGTCTTACTACATTTTCAAGTTCTTCATCATCCACTCCTGCCATTCTGCTCCTGACTGACAAACCAAGCAACTTGGACCTCTTGTACAGGAATGAGGAGGAGCACCCCAATATTCTTGCCATTCGCTTCACTGTGTGACCTTGTTTCATTCAAATTTCAATTTGGTTACGCGTTATTTGAATGGCTGGTCTACCTCGCGTACCTGCAATTCAAAACAACATGTATTTGTTGTGCTGACATTCAGCTCCTAATGGCAACCAACAATAACATTAGAAAAATAATGACAACATTAGATAACATAAGAAGACCTACGTAATTCCGATGGGAGTGTCTTATGGTGTCGGATGGGTAGGCCCTACCGGCTGCTGGTATGGAACTACGTGAATTTGGGGCGCCCGGTCGGGAGGGCTCGTGCCAATGCTCAACGGAAGCAGCTCACGCATTGGAATGGGTGAGCCTTACCGACAGAAAAAAATTAAAGGTAAATAAAGTATACTGGAGTGTGATACAAAATGCGGAATGTAAACATGCAAATTTAAATATGCAAATTTAAATATGCAAAAAGTTTTTATGGATTGATAAAATTGTGCGTGGCATTTTTTCAGCAGTTTTCTCGATTCAAATAAATAGTTTCTTCACTCTCCATTCCATTCTAAATGTTAAAGCAATAGTTGACCCAAATGTGAAAATTCTGTCAACATTTATGAGTTCCTTTCTTCTGTTGAACATAAAAAAATATATTTTGAAGAAGCTGGTTAGCCATTAACTTCCACAGTATTTTTTTTCCTACGATGGAAGTCAGTGGCTACCAGTTACCAACATTCTTCTAAATCACTTTTTTTATGTTCAACAGAAGAAAAACTCTTCGAAGGTGAGTTATTGGTCATAAGTTTTCATTTTATGTGAACTATCCCTTTAATAACATTATGTAGGCCTACAACTTGTTGTACAGTCATTATTTTATCAATAGTTGATATATAAGTTTTAATTAGTCTTATAAATCTACCCACACTGCATTCATTTTCCATTTAGTTAAGCTAAGTGAATACACAGCATGTGTAGACAAAGATTTCAGGCCCAAGCACTTCCATTGAATTTTTGGGAATCAACCTAGATTCACAAAAATTCCAAGCTTCTCTACCCAAGGAAAAAATAGACAGAACGATTCTGGTGGCTTCCACTCTTTTAGCCAACCCAAACTGCTCCAAACGCGAGCTGCTATCCGTGCTTGGTCATCTAAATTTCGCAATGTGAATCATCCCGCAAGGCCGCCCCTTCATCTCTCACCTCCTCTCTCTTGCATCCTCCATTCACAAGCTAGGTGATCAAATATCTATAACCAATTCATGCCGAGATGAGCTCAGTCTGTGGATTTCCTTCCTTAAACAATGGAACGGCTTATCTTTTTTTACAGCGATTTGGTCGCTTCTCCCGTTGACATTAAATTATTTACCGACGCCGCCCCCTCCGTCGGTTTCGGTGGATTTTACCAAAACGGCTGGTTCACTTCTATGTGGCCTTCCCAGCTGTTAGGTTTACCTCAGCCGCTAATATCCTCAGCACTTTTCGAGCTATATCCTATAGTCGTAGCAGCCTTTCTGTGGGGAAAAGAGTGGTCCACCACCAGCATCATTATTCACTGCGACAACGAGGCTACCGTGCACTGCATTAATAAAGGCCGTTCTCATTCACCCGCCTTAATGCCTTTGCTAAGACGTCTAATTTGGATCTCGGCTTGCGACCAGTTCATCATAACCGCAAAACACATTCCCGGGTCAAAAAACCAAATAGCTGACTCTCTCTCGTTTTGCCTTCCAGAAATTCAGGCTGTTGGCACCAGAAGCGGAACCACTACCAACCCCAGTACCTCCTTATTCAGAGCTGATATTCCATTGAATCATCCTCTGAGACCTCTTCTCGAGGCTTCCCTCGATTCTATTTTTCAAGCCGTTTCCCCCGAGCCTTGCAATCCTATTTTACAGCATGGAAATACTTCAAAGCTTTCCATTCCACCTACAACCTGCCATTTCCTGATTTTTCCCTACTCTCTATCACTTCATTTATATCACACCTCAACATTAACAAAAAGCTCCATTTAAAAGCTATCTAAGCGGAATTCAGTTTTTCCATAAGCTCATATACGGTTCACCCTCACCACAAATAGCCAATTCACAGACCTCCCTTCTCATCAAAGGCATTCAAAG